CGGGGCGTGAAGGGTGGGTTGGAGGAGTCTAGAACATGAGTGTGAGGTAGGGGGCCATGGTAGAACGGGGGCAGAGAAGAGAATGGGGAGTGTTATGGAAAGGGACAGATTAAATGTGATTTCTGTTGGCAGGGGCTTTTAGTAGGGAATGGCACCTGTTTAGCAAAAAGCAACCAAAGTTTACAGGAGAGAGTGAGATACGCTAACCAATTTAAAGGCAACATGTACATGCTGCTTTTGTCATGTTTGTGTAGCACTGTTTGAAATACTGTTTCAAAGTATTTTAAATTATTACTGTTTCAAACTCTAAAGTAAGGAGTTGCAATATTAATGTTAGTATGAACACAGAAAAATTGTCATAATCCTTCTGGTGTCACGTTTGATCTTCCTGTTCCAGGCTGTTTTACTAATCTGCCATATCAAATTACAGGCTTATTCTGAGCTGAAGAAAATGTGAGACTACAGTGGTAACCAGTATTTCCTTTCATAACTATCCTGCTTATTTTTAAGTAGTGGTTAAGGTTTCCAATGTGATTGTCAGGCTGTAACGCATTCTTACTTGCTTGTTTTGCAGCCATCAGATGCTTTGATATTGGGAAAGATAAAAAATGTGGACTGCGTGCTGTTGGCAAGGTAAATGAGCATTTTAAGGGGTTTTATATTATGTGCTTTAAAGTTTTCTCAAAAGTTTTTTCTTTTTACATTAGGTGAACTGAATTTTTACTCTGACTTCATCTTGCTCTGTGTGGTTGCTAGCAAAGTTCAGCAGAAGTCTGGTTTTTTACCTGAATGAATATGATGCTGCAGGGACTGAGAGTATTAAAAATACTGTATAGGTTAGGAAAGAGAAATCCAGTGGGGGGTGCTGCCCTAGTAAGAACGGCAACCTGCAAGGTTGCCTGCTCTGGTGGTAGGTAGGTGGTGCCTGATAGCCTCAGTAATCTGTCTGCTCCCTGTGTTTGCAGATTTCCTTTGTGCAACTGGGAAATTGCCTGTTTCCAGTTGAACTGTATCTCTGGTACCACTGCAGACTCTTCCAAATCATTCGCTTTGATTATTGAGTCCTCTGGCTGTTATCTTTATTGCTTAGGAGGCTGCATCCCATGTAGTTCTTCCTCCCTGGGTCATTTTTATTCAGACATCTCTTACCATACTCAGAAGAGACTCTGGAAGCAGGCTCTACCGATGAGTGCATGGAAACGTCACACTGATGTAACAGTGGATATCTAGGACCAATGTGCTACTAGATTAAACATGAGAATACTAACACTTCTCAGCATCTGAACGACATGGGCAGAGCCAGGTGCTGATAACAGGGTCCATCAGCAGTCCCAGAGAAGTCAAGGTGATGAATCAAGTCCAGTATCCATCCAGGGAGTCCAGGCAGGAGCAGTAGGAGATGGGGCCAGGCACAGGGTTGGAGACAAGGCTGCAGCGTGTGTCCAAAGTCCATCCAGAAAACAGGTCTGGAGACAAACTACAGCATAGGTCTGAAGGCCATCCAGGAGACAGGGCTGGGGACAGGCACACCTGTGACATAGCTCAGGCCAGGAGTGAAGGCTGGGGCCTGAGCTTGGAGGCGGGAGCATCTAGGCTCACAGCACCGGGTGTTTGGGTGGAGGCCCAGGGTGAGGCTGGCCAGGGCAATTACGACTCAGTGGTGCACTCAGGGCCCCAATTCTTTTCATGCCAGTATTTTTCCGTTAAGCTGCTGACTGTTACCATCTCTGAAACTACACTTCTGTCTGTGGTTTTACTTTTCTTATCTTGCATGGACTTTGTTCATGTATTTTGTTACACCTGGACAACATTATTCTCATTTTCTCAAAAGAAATGCTAATCCAAGGTCCCATAGCTGCGCTGTATCAAAGTAGGCCTTGGGCTACAGATGGCTGAACAACTCGGCTGTGGTTTACATCCTCACTGGGATTTATGACCATTTACATATGACCCCCGTGAGTTTACTTTTGGGGCTAATGTGCCTGCAACTTCACTTTGTGTTTTGGGAAAAATAAACAGACTTGCTCATGATTGCCAGATTAAAAAAAAGAGGGCATGTATATTCTAGAAGAAGATTATGACAACAACTGCAACATTAAACAATAAACCTACATGCCTAGTAGCTTATCATAAATGCTAATGACAACATGGGAATCCTTCCTGACAGTGCTTGGTCATGTTGTGTGCAACTCCCAGTTCCCAGTTGATTGAGTTCTTAAGACCTTTTGGTCTCTGTGAAAGAATCAATTGGGAAATTAAGTTCCTCCTTTCCTCTTACATGGTTGAAAATAATTTTCAAATGCATTTAATCATTATGTGAGTGATGCATCTCTGTAGCAATGACAGACATAACACGAAAGCTCGTGCTTATAAGACTAAGTATTTCCTGTCTTGGTGAAAAAACATACTGCAACAGTGTGAAGTCATTATTCTAATTTATGAAAGCTGTCAGATCATTTTAAAAGCAAAGAGAAAAATGTGATGATTCTACTGTTTTCTTTGGGAAGGTGACAGATTAAAACTGTGTGTTCTTTCTGTTTTTAATTTCCTGTGATGTGCTGCTCTTTTCTAGGTGGGAGAATACAAACAGCACTTCTGAGCAGAAAATTTGTAGAGGTGTATATAAATCTGTATATAAATTGTTGTAGTGTATGGAAGATTTAATTTGCTACACCTGGGTTTTCAGAATCTATGGAACTGACTTACAAAATTCAGAGAAAAATGCTTTTTGTACTCTTGAAGCTGCTAAAGTATATTTGGATTGTATTTTCAAGATTCTTTTCATTACAGTCTTGAACTTAAAAATTTTGCATTTGAAAAGAAAACTACACCACTACTTGTTAAATCAAATACTGAGAGAACCTTAATACAGTTAGGCAAACAAGCTACACTGGAAGTAGCTGAAATGATCAGTTCCACTTCCAATGTTGTTAGCGAAATTACATTTCCTGGAATTCTCTTTATCTGGGAGAAGGAAGGAAATTTCAGTCTGATTTATTTTACTCTCTTGCAACATGTATCTTTGCAGACATGGAAGGCATCATACAATTATGCCATCGAATGTCAATTACCGTGCCAATATCTGGGCATTAAAAGAAGAAAATTGTTCGCATGTATTAGTGACTACTGCCTGTGGTTCATTACGAGAAGAAATACAACCTGGTGATCTTGTCATAATTGACCAGTTCATTGACAGGTGAGTAATTGTGTTCTTAGTTTTGGGGGGAGAAAGAAGCGGTCAAGTGGGGTTAAACCATGTAATAACATGTTAATGTTAAATTCAGTTTTTGTGGAATGAGGTGGTAGCCTCAGTTCTTACAGCAAAAAGTGAGATTCATACAAGAAGTCGTGATAGGAAACAGGGATGAAATTACAAGAAGTTCAGCTCTAACAGACACAGAAGAAATACCAGGCTTTGAAGAATGGCCTCAAATGAACTGAAGTATAGCTCCTTGGGAAGAGTCTTCTGAAGAGAAGAGATCTCCTGTTCTGAGATGTGGGGAAGGAACATGGATAAGAGCACAGGTTGTTCTAAGTTTTAAGAAGAATCTGAAATGAGATGGAGAGGTGAAAGAAAGCATAGAAGGAGCCAGGTAGGAATATATATGCAGTAATAATGAGGCTCTACAGAAGAGAGATCAAATGCAACACAGTAGGAAAATAGAGGAGGTTGTTTTAAAACAAGGAGAGATGCTAACATTTTTGATTTGCTAAGAATCATAAGGAAGTAAAATTATTCCAAAGTCTGTGTACTCCAGTCAGTCCTCCCCTCCTTGATTATCTGATGCTTAGAAAAATTCAAGCAAATGGGGGTGAGGGGGAAGCTACATTTAAAGATCACCAACTACACCAAATATTTCAAAAATATCGTTGCACGTTGTAATAGGTACACCTACACTTATAGGTGTACTGTATCTGGAAGTCTTATTGGTTTTCCACCCAATTTTAAGTGTTTGGAATGGTTTATGCAGCTTCTTTGTGCTTTTGTGAGGCTGCTGGCAATATTTCATTTCCAACTGATCATGTATACCTCGGTTTGTTCTCTGCAGTGCAGTGCTATTCAAGTTTTGACTTACTGACATTTTTTTGTGTGTGTAACCGAAATGCTTTTTCTTGTAAGAGAGTACGTTTTAAGTACGGTATATCTAAATTACTAAGTACCCTGCAGGAGCAAGCCCCATATAAACTGCTTCCTGTTATACTAGAGTTGATTTATGGGTGGAAAGCAGCTGTATTGCTGACAGTGGTCTTTTTTTTTAAATTTTTTTCAAGTCTAAAAGTATTTAGGCTGATCACTTTGTTTATACAGATTAAATCATAATCATCCTTATTCTGCCAAGAGTACTTGGAAATGAGTAATTTTAGTATTGATACTGATTTATGTAGGAAAGATATTAAACATACTTGGGTACATGGTTTGGATGACTGCGAGTAAAGCACCAGTTATTTTGACAGCATTATCATCTAGCAGACTCCTAGGTAGGTGAGGGGAGCCTAACCGTGCTAAGCTGTGAATTGCATGCATGGTAAGAAGTAGCCTCTGGCCCAGAGAGCCTGCAGTTTTAAACAAGAAACAGCTGGAATAATTGCAGAGTTATTATCTGCTATGGGTGAGGGGTGGAAGTATGGAGAAACTAACTCTTGCAGAGGTCAGGCAGAAAGACATTAACAGAGCCAGGAAATGAACCCAGATATGAAATCTGAGACCATCCTTCATCTAAAATGTCATTATCAAAATTAACAATTAATTTTGAAGCTAGCTAATCTCCTCCCACAGCTTTAAATTTCCCAGCACTTGCCAGTCTGCATCATAACTTCTGAGCTGGAAAGGAAATAATCAACTTGGTTAGGTTTGGGTTTTAAGAACATGTCCCTTTCAAGAAGAAGGAAAAAAATAGGTTATAGAAGAAATCAGTATATGTATCTGATGTGAAGATGAGTGAAAGGACAGGGATGATTTACATTGCAGCAAAGAAGGCAAATAGTATCTTGGGCTGTATTAGTAGGGATGTTGCCAGGAGGTCGAGGGAGGTCATCCTTCTTCCCCTCTACTCAGCACTGGTGAGGCCACACCTGGAATACTGTGTCCAGTGCTGGGCTCCCCAATGCAAAGAGGGACATGGACATACTGAAGAGAGTCCAGCCAGGGGCCACGAAGATGCTGAAGGGACTGGAGCATTTCTGCTATGAGGAAAGGCTGAGAGATCTAGGACTGTTTCACTTGGAGAAGAGAAGACTCAAGGGGGGTCTCATCAATGTATATGAATACCTGAAGGGAGGGTGCAAGGAGGATGGAGCCAGGCTCTTTCCAGTGGTGCCCAGTGACAGGATCAGAGGCAATGGGTACAAACTGAAACGCAGGAGGTTCCCTCTGAACATTAGGGAACACTTTTTCACTGTGAGGGTGACCAAACACTGGCACAGGGTGCCCTGAGAAGTGGTGGAGTCTTCCTGCTTGGAGATATTCAAAAGCCGCCTGGACGTGGTCCCGGGCAACCAGTTCTAGGTGGCCCTGCTTGAGCAGGGGCTTGGACCAGATGACCTCCAGAGGTCCCTTCTAAGCTCAACCATTCTGTGATTCTCTGATCTGCATCTTCATTTAGAGTTTATTCAGATGGTCACCAGTAGTAATGGCATAGCCCAGATATGAGCAGTGTTTCATTTGGGCAAGTTAGTTTTCATTTCGATGTAGAAGAATGGGAACTTGTGGGGACTTGTTTCATGGCTTCAGGAAACCAAGAAGCTTCTCAGAAAAGCACGTGAGAATGTTTCAGGGTGGAAAGCAATATGTAATATGAATTTTAAAATCATTACTATCTTGCCATTTAATTCAGAAAACTGACAAGTCATAATAGTCTGTTTCATTTGACAATTTGATTTCTGTGATAAGTCTTTTTCCCTGATGGTCTTTGCCAGTGGGTGTTAGACAGCTGGTTCTTTGGAGGTAGGGGCTGCATTTTTGCCTTTCGCAGGGGTGTATCATCTGTAAGAGTGATTGCATTATATATCATAAATCATAACGAAAACAATGCTGCTGACAGGAAGATACTTTCATGGGACAAAAGAGATTAATTGTCCACCAAAGTCTGAAAAGATGCAATTTTTCTGAAATACATTCTAATGAAAGATCAGGGTCCTGCAAACAATGTCAGCAGTCTTGGAAAGAAGGTACTGGTTAAAGCTGCAAAAACAGTTGGTTATTTTTGTTGAAAGGTACCCTGGCTTCTATGTAGTGATTAACCCATGCCAGGCACTACACAGGAAAGAAGCTTGGATCTAGATGGGAAGGATTTACTCAAGCTGCCATTAAAATCAGTGCCTTCTAGGTGTCCAGGTACCTTTTGGTATCCGGGCTCTAGTTCTCAATAGGGAGCACATCATGATTCTCCTTTCAGGTGTGAAGCAAGAAGAAGGAATAGTGAATGGGTATGGGAGAAAAGCTAGAACCGAGCAGAAAGCTGTAGGCAGCAATTGTAATTTGCTCCCCTTGGGCATTCACACTGTGGCATTAATGACAGGATCTCAATGTATGGAGTTGTGTAGGACTTCTGCCTAGTTTAGGGCACGGGTTTGACTTACAGTGGGGAACACTGAATAGGTGTTATTAGAACTATGTAGCATTTCCAAACTTTTGAGGGCTTAATTCTGCAGATCATTAGCACTCCTAGCAAGTGTTTGATTTTGTATATAGAGTCTCTGCTTTCTTCATGCTTACCTATGACTGTGTGTGTTTAAACAATAAAAGTTAGATTTTGTTAAATAAGTACCAAAATATTTACATGGTGTTCTCCTTAATTCCAAATCCAAAAGTAACCACAGGTACTATGATGGGCTACAACAGTTGTTCTCTTCTTTGAAACAAGTGACTAAAAAAAATTCTGGAAAAATTTTTTTATGCCTTTGGCTCCTGTTAGTTTATTACAGTGCTGTTACCTGGCTGGATCAGACGGATTAGGGGCTTTCTAATATTTTCTCTTTGGTTTGCTAGGAAAAGAAGAGTAAGAAGGTAACTACTTACTTAGATGACTCAGCTCAGTTGGGAAGATGCAGAAAATAGCTTCATAAAAGAAATCCTGTAACAGCTGCCAACTTTATTGTTTGAATTCTTTGTGTCACATACACCACTACAATTATTACAGTATTGTTACATTCCATAAAATTTTCCATGGGAGAATTTTCTTCCAGTGTCCCTGAAGAGGCAGAGCATGCTGAGACTGCTTTTTATACAGCAGATGCCAGTGTGAATTTTCATTTTGTTCTTTAATTACTAATAGCTTGTTGATAATTCAACACTACCGGAAGAAAGGGGAAGGTGATGATGCAAGTGGTAGAGGACTGTTTGTCACAGGTGGAAATGATTTTTTTTCACTTATTTGAGTTGGATTTTGCTTCCTAGCATCAGTCATAGTCAGCATTGCCAGAAAATCTTGTGTTACTGTGATAAAATCAAAATGAAGGAGCAAAAGCCACCTTCCTGTCTGATGAAAAGTGTGGTGTTGCTGCAGGGTGGGGAATACAAACTCTGGGCACACCTTCAAAACTGCAGTACACGCAGCTTTGAATTTGAAAAAGCAGTAAGGGCAAGGCAGGCACAGCAAAACTATGCAACAGTGCAAGGGTTTGCTTGCGCTATGAGTACCGCTGTCTCCTTGCTTGATACGCAAGTGGCTATGCATAAAAACATACATGTCCCTTTCCCAGGGAAGGAATTCCCTTTTCTCCTGTACTGCCATCCACTGTCTGGCACAGAGGCAGCATGAGGGTCTGGTGGGGGTTCTCCGTAGAGCCCTACAGAGGTCAGATGGCCAGCAGGAGCTATGCAGCCCCGGTTCTTAGCTGCTTGCTTGTAGTTATCAGTCCAATGCTTTCAGGTGCTGCTTCTGATCTCCCCCACTGGGGGCATTTGTGTACTTTCCCTTTATGCTATCCTTGATCCATCTGGATTGTGCGCTTCTACTACAAATAGCGTGGCTAGTTTCTAGGCAGGCACTTGGTGACTTCTTCCTGTTTTAATGTAAACAATCAGGCAATTGTGTAACATTCAGTCGTGCTCTGTTGTTAAGCAGGCTCTCCTTCTGATGGAGGGCATGCAGACTTTTCCACATTTAAAACTGTGAGATCTGAGGAGCAGATTGTGTTTGAAGGGTGGCTGTTGAGTTCCTTATTTCTTGTTTTCTGCTGGCTCCATAAGGAGTCACTCAGGGTAGGTGGGGAAGGTCTTGAAACTCTTGTAATGACAGGAGTCTTAGGCAGATACTGTTGTTTGCTCTCTGGCTCTTGGTCTTTGTGAGGGTAAGGCAAGGAAAGCATCTGTGATTCTGTAACCTTCATTCTCTCTGCAAGGGATACAGAGGAACAGTATTGCAGCAGTGAAAACTATGTGCTGCTGCCCTGTACCTTGCAGGCAGGTGAGTGGGACAGATCAGGATGGCCAACTCCTGACTTGCGTAGCAGGGCTACAGAAAGGAGGAGAGGCTAAAAGGCATTCCTCTGTGCCAGCCATTACTTCATAGATAGCAAGAATCAGAGATTGGTTCAAATCTGCCTTTGTTCTCACCCTAAACCTAGCATCGTACAGACACATCAGCTGGCCCCATATCAAATAGCCGTGGCCTTTGCAGAGTTGCAGCCTTCCATGCAGAAGAGAAATTGTTGCACTCTGAGTGCAAACACATGGTCCATTGCTCAGAGCAGTCATAGGTCTTACCGTTATTACTTATTCCCATGCAGTTTGTATGTATGGTGCTAAACATAGCGGGATTTCTTTATTAGACCATGTAGTGATGTGGCTGTTCTCTCCAAAGAACACAGGGTATCTGAAAGTCAGAGATTAATATTTATACATATGTGATCTTTCCTCAGGGCTTTTCTGAGTGAAAGGGCCTGACTAACAACATCTGAAATACTATAATGCAGGAAATGGATTATGACTTTTCCCATTTCCTCCAATTCTAAATAATTCATTAGCAGACACTGAAAAAAAGTGTGTAAAATCAGATACGTGCTATTTGCAACTCTTCAATATCCCATAAAGGAAAAATTAATATTAGCATTTCAACCGATTTTAACAGCTGTATCTCATTTTGCAAATGTTTTTAATTTGCTGATCTCTTTTCCTATTTTGTAATCTTATCCTTAAGGAAACCCTATCAGTTACTCTTTTTTCAAATCTACTCTAACATGTATCTTGTATTTAAAACTGTCTTTTAAATATTTGCTGGCGACTTGGGTGGGGAACTGTTGTGAGCAGTATTACCAGCAGAAATTTTGTATTTTAACTGTGGATTGAATTTGGCTGTTGCCTTACTTTTCTCCTATAAAGTAAAATAGGTGACAGGAAGAAGGGAATGTCTCAAATAATTTTGTTCCAGAGGGTTTTCGCCATCCAATTGGCTGAATTAGCTTGAGGCAGTGCATTTGAAGGTAAAGTGATAGCGAGTAACAGTTCCACTAGTTGTCAAAATGGAATGCTGGATGGTAATTTCTGCAGCATGTTTGACCATTTCCATGCAAGGAAACAGTTTCTCATTTGAAAGAAGGGAGAAAAAGGATTCTTCTACTTGCAAGCTGCCAATGCATGTGTGTAATCTTTCTGATAATATGAAGACATCCTGTTCCCGGGTTTTTCTGGTTGAACTCACACCTCTCTGGTTTAGGAAGCTGTTCCTATAAATTCCCATCCTTTCAATGTAGGAATGCAATGATATGAACAACCTCTGTTTTGACTGGCTTTGTGGTAATTCAGGCTTGATCCCTTCCTGAAAGCTTACTGTGCTCTTTTTTTCAGAGATTACTTGCCTGACTATTAAATTCAGCTGATTTCTTTTGGGTAGAATTGCAGCATAATGTGGCTGTTTGTGTCATTTAGGAACAAATCAGCATTTCAGTATCTTGTTAACAATAGATTTTCTGTAATTAATTGCCAATGCACTACTGGAGTAACGGTTTTATACTCTTGAGCTCAATTCTGAAAGGTTTGTACAGAGGCAAAACAGGATTACAAGTGGTCATTAATACCACACTGATATTTTTGTTCCCTCCCGGGAATTTCTTGCTTTCTCTTCTGTTTTCTGTTTTCTCCCTGTTCTCTCTGAGCGTGTTTTCTGCTTTTCTAGGACAACTAAAAGACATTGTACTTTATACGATGGGCAGCATTCCACTCTTTCAGGAGTATGTCATATTCCAATGGCAGAGCCGTTCTGCACCAAAACCAGAGAGGTTAGTGAATTTTGTAATAATATTTAGAAATGTTATTTTTATGGCACTTATTCATGATATAGTAGTCTAATTCCCCAACATTGGACACTTTTAAGATTCAGCTGGACAGGGTGCTGGGCCATCTTGTCTAGATTCTATGACCGTGCTTTTGCCAGGAAAGGTTGGACCAGATGATCCTTGAAGTCCCTTCCAATCTGGTATTCTATGATTCTATGAATTACGCATTCTTAGAATACAGAGGCAATCTGCACCTCTTTATTCCTGTTTCTCAGATATGTCATGGTATTATGGAAAAATGGAACATTTGGAAGGCATGGGAAGTAAAAGATCTCGCGTCTTTAGGAGTTGTCTTCCTAAGGGAGGTATGCCGAAGATGTCAGTTGGCAACCTAGATTTCCTCGGGGTCTTAATAACAGGAAAAAAGATCTTTATTTATCAGGTAACAAGCCAAGAGAGCAACAAAGTGGACAAAGCAGGAAGACAGATTTAGGAATTAGTTCCTTTTTGTTCTGAATAAAACTGCACCTATGGTAGAGGCACTCTACATGCTTAATACAAAGAATCAAATAAATAGTACTTTAGCTTCACAGAAATTACAACATTGCATTTGTGCTTTTGTGCATTGTAGCAGTGGGTGGTGGTGGAGAGTCAAGGCTTAGTGTAAAGGATGTTAAACATAGAAACAAGCCAAATTACAGTAGCCTTTTATTCTTAACTGTTGCTCTTAGTTTTGTCACTTCAAGATTTTCAGGCTTCAAAAACACTTTGACTAGGCAGTGTGAAACACTGCTGTTTTTCAACACCTTTATAAGCTTCTGGGAGGAGCGTATCTGTGATTAAATATGCCACTTTAGCATATTCTTAGACCTGAGGAAAAGAGAAGGTGAAGATTGAACTGTGCATTTTGAGCTGTTGTGGAATGCTCTGATCAGAAGCTGCAAGGAGGTACATTCTCCAGGGGCACAGGAATGCTTACAGAATCAGTCATATCCATCTAAGAGACTTGCTCTCTGTGCAGTCAGTTACTACACTGAGCAGGACAAAGCTGAATTGTGAAGCAGGTGGCCCAATCTGTACCGAGAGCATGTACAAATATTTGTAGTACTGAGCTATTCTGCTCTTGTCACCAATTCACTTCAGTGTCATTACAGCCTATTTTTGTTAATTGGCCAGACATAGTGTGGTTTCGAGATATCCACCAGCAGGTCCACAGCACTGTTGGTAGAACAATGCTTCAATGCACTGGGAATCAAGGTGTTTTGCAATGAAGTAAAGACATTTTAAATCTCATGAGGAAACAAACCACTACGTATTACACATGTGCATGCTTTTGCCATTCTTCCACTGAGCAGCAAATTATGCAAAATAATTTGCATTTTTCACGCTACAAGAGCTAGCCACATGCTCTTACCAAAGATTAGTTGGCATATAGCTGCTTACTGACTTTGAGCATGATGTCCTGTTACAACAGATAAAAGGAGTTTATTGAGAACTAACTGCACGCTTTTTGAAATAGATTAAAAACAGTGTTATTACTGAAGTGATTGGCAGTACTTCATGCTGTGTCTCTTTCTCATGTTTTAAAAAAGGTAAGTAGATATGCATAAGCCATTTCCTGAGGTTGCAGGAAACATATGCCAAGGCTAGTTTTCATTCGATTGTTAAGTAGCTAGAGACAATGTTCTTTGGGTATTACATTTTTTGAAAAGCCAACAGAGAAATGCTCCTTTTCAAACAGAGAAAAAACATTTAGGTACTTCCCAGTCTCACATGTGATCATTATCTCATTAGCCTATGCATTCTAATCAGCCTAACAGATGTTTTAAAGAACATGTGGTTTTGAGCTCTTAGCGAGGCTGAAAATGGATACTTTCACTTCATTTGAAAATACCAGATAAAAGTGACTTAAACTTTTTTCCTGGAACTATCCCTGAAAATTGTTGGGATCATTTCAGTCCAGTTTATCCTAATCCAGGGGAATTTCATCAATAAATGCAATAATAATAAAGCCAAAACTGTTAATGTAATAGATTAATTAAGGAATTTTACATTAAAACATCTGAAAACTATATTAAATTGCATTTGTGCAAATATGTGAAAATACGGTTTTATTTGGTTTATGCACTGTAAATTAAATGAGAATCTGAAAGGAGTTTATCTTTTCTCTGACTGCAAACTTTTGAATAATGTAGGGTGCCTTGGTTATTACCGCTTTCAGAAACTGCAACATCTTATAGGGAGTAAAGTTGGAAATTTGTAAAGATTTTCAGGGAAATACTGCTCAACTGTGGTTTAAGTCAAATCACAGTCGAAGTTGTCTATTGATCTATTAACAACATGTAATTAACTGGCAATCAGTGAATCGTGTATTCAGAATTAATATCAGCAATAAACCACATTATTAGGTGTGATTAATATTAGATTAACTTACAGCATGTTAAACACCTACAAATTTCTAAGTGTCCTGTGGCTAATCCCCAGAAGCTCTGCTTTACCTCTACATGCATATTCACACAGTTGCATGCACAAATACCCTTCCCCAGCACATGTGGGTTACGTGCACACCCACCCTCTTCTGGGAGTGCAGGTTTACCTGTTCACACGCATCTGCAGTGGGAGATGTGGGTATTCCAGCTTTATCTGTACTTGTGCTGCTCCACACAATCCACTGATCCACATGCCGGCGAGGAGGCACCCCACAAGGTCACATAGCACACTCGAGGTATTGCTGCTTGTTGCACCCATGTATGGCGGCTTGACCAACCAGCTGGAGTGCAAGCTTCTCACAGCATTTTGCAGGGAGGCTGCTCCCCCTTGCCTGTGTGAAGGCCATGATGCTGACAAGGCAGCTTCTAGTGGTGTCAGACTATATTTTCACTGCTGCTGTGTTATGAAGGTCTCTCCTGTCCTGTCAGAATTTTTCGTGCTGCTTTTATACTTCTTTTCAAACTTTTCTTTTCCATTGATGGTCATTTTAAACAGATGTCATTATAGTTACTTTCCCCTTCCTATTCAGGACTGTTATAGGTGTCCTGGTCCCATTTACACATGCTGGTACACTCTTATTCCTGCTGTATCAACTGGTGTTGCCCGGGCCATTTACCAAGAGAGAAAGTCATGATGATTCTGCCATATCCTAGTTCTGCCGTATCAGGTTCTGCCATATCAGGTCCTAGTTTGAACTGTAAAGGCTAATGTGAAGTACATGATATATGTAAAGTGTACAGCTCAGTCACTGGCATGGGAAAATGTGGTAATTTTTTCTCTACAGATTCCCAGGGTACTCTTTGAAGTATATGCTTGTAGAGTTTTACTTTCAAAAAGTAAATTTCCTACTATTGTTCTCACCAGCTCAACTCCACCATGTGGTAATGTAGTGCTCAGTGGAGTGTTTTCACCATTCTGTTCTCGATGTAAGCACAGCCTAAATATCATGCAAAAAATTTCTGTTTTCCAATCTTCTTGGTCTGCATTGAAAACAGTAATCCAACTGACACTGACAAAATCAGATGAGTTCAAGATCATTCCTGTTAGTAGGGCCGTTAATTTCTCTTGCTGGATGAGGCAACTGGTTTTGGACAGCTGTAGCCATATGAAGCTTGACTGCTTTGTATAAAGCTAATTTCTTTTGTATGTACGTTTTTTGATGGGATGCAAAAGCACTGCACCAGGAGAATTATTTCCTTTCCCCAATATTGGCATGTTTTACAGGTTCTTATTGAGACTGCCAAGAAGCTTGGGCTCCAGTGTCATTCCAAGGGGACGATGATCACAATTGAAGGCCCACGTTTCAGTTCTCGAGCAGAAAGCTTGATGTTTCGCAGCTGGGGAGCTGATGTTATCAACATGACCACAGTGCCTGAAGTTATTCTTGCAAAAGAAGCTGGAATGAGTTATGCTAGTATTGCCATGGCAACAGATTACGACTGCTGGAAGGAACATGAAGAAGCAGTGAGTGAAACTTTTTCTCTGGGTGTTGTCCTGGGGGATCTGGATGAGAACCTGTAGGTTTTGATAAGAGGTCACATACTGAACTAAATCTGTTCTTACATCAGTATCACTGAGTTATTCTGGATGAACGATTGTGAAATTAAGAACAGAATAAATTGTTGCCACTTCATTCATTTTCATAAACTTGCCTCACTACTAGCAAACCTTTTGTCTCCTCTTGTCTGAATCAGAGGATCTGTGTCTATGAAGCTGGTGAGCTCTGTGTATGAGCTTGTCTTCCCGTAACTGGCCTGGTGTTTTTTCTTTTGCAGCTCTGTGCACAATGATGTATCTGCTTTAGTTCTCCTATTTCTGTAAAATACAATCAGACATACACCCGCAGAGGAAAGCAGTTTTTACTCGCTAAAAGGATTGTGGCATTTTAAGGCTTCACATTTTCACTTAGAGATGTATGAGTTAATTTAATTTATTTGGATATTTAAATGTTTGCCATCAAAATTGAGAGACACCACTCAGTTTTATTGTATTTCTAGGTTTCAGTGGATAAAGTTTTAAAGACGCTGAAAGGGAATGCAAATAAGGCTACTAGCATACTCCTTACTGCTATACCTCAGATAGGTTCCATGGAATGGACTGACACCCTGCACACCCTGAAAGTAAGTACACACATGAGGCTGATGAGTACTGGGGACAGTGTATGCATATGTACACATAATATAGGTATATGTTCCAAGATGTTTCTGCTTAAATCATAACTTCTTAGAGTAGATGCTTCAACAAACCAAATCCATTCAAGATGGGCAAACAAATTTGTTAAGACTCTAACAAGCTTCATTACAAAGATCTAGCTTGAGTTTTACAAGAAGTGTTACAAAAGGTAAAAAAATTAAGGACATCTGTATATGGTTGATGAAGTGTTATCCTTCATAGCACAGGTAAGATACAGATCTATGTGAATATCCAAGTGAAAAACCTGTACCTCTACTTAGCTTTAGCTTACATCTTAGAACAATGGAGAGCCAAGCGGAGGAGACTGAACCAAACCAAAAACATTGTGCTCTTTTTAACATGTCGAAGGAGAGGAGTCTGTTACAAGATACGGGTAATAACCAGTTTGAAATTATTAGAACTGTGTACTCCCACAGGTTTCAGATCCACAGTGCATGGAAAAAAAAAAAGGAAAAGAAAAACATTTCAAAATATAGTGGTGATGGAATTTTTAGGCAGAATTTTTCTTAGACAAGTGTTTACTTACATGTTTTACATCGCCTTTATAGAATCATAGAATCATAGAATCATTGAGGTTGGAAAAGACCTCTAAGATCATCGAGTCCAACCGTCAACCCAACACCACCATGCCCACTAAACCATGTCCCTAAGCGCCTCATCTACACGTCCTTTAAACACCTCCAGGGATGGGGACTCAACCACTTCCCTGGGCAGCCTGGTCCAATGTTT